AGCACTTACAGGCACGACCACATATGGATTGACCAAGTGCTGCTTGTGCTTGGGACAGTTGTGGCCATGCCTAGTCTAGCCGACCAAGGCTAAGAATACACGGCGGCAACACAATTGACCGAAAGGACGGATGCAATAAACTACGGTTTAGGGCCGTCTAACTTTACTTCCAAAGGACTGGTTAGGAGATTAGTCAGTGATCAAATGGAAAGAAATATACAAATAACGAATGAGACCCCTCGAGGAAAGCCCTTTGCGTGGTCAGCGGATCGTCGAACAAGCAACTCCGGAAAGGCAGAATGGAATACAAAGCAAGGTCAATAAAAGTACTTTCTGCCAGGAAAAGGAGACCTGACTTACAATTTTTCCCATATAGTAGTCGTGAAGCAACTTCAGAGCCCGCGATCCATAGCCAAGGCCTTGATAGTCAGGGTGAGTAGCAATGCGAACCACACGGGCCCCAGACAATTCTCCAAAGTTGGGCTCACAAAACTGAGTACGAAAGAAAATGATAAAAAGATTATGCAAGTCTGCAAAGAATACTGACCAAACGCAAAACTACACTAGGGTTTTTATACTGGTCCCCAGACCCATGAGACTGTGAGTCCAACTGTGAAAAGTTCATGGCCAGATGGGCGGAAGGACCCAGCTACTGGACTCTCCACAGAACTGACCTCCTTCACTGGAAGCCTCCCTAAATTAGACGAGTTTGTTTTAGGTTTTTTTCCTGAGTTCAAAGAGGACTGACAGTGCCCAAGGGACGTTACAATAAACCCATTCTATTCTATTCTAAATTAGACAATGGGTCTGGTCGGTAGTCATTGTGCGACTGAGGCGAGCTGCGGAAAGGCAGGCATCTTAAAGAATCGAATTTGAATACTTGGAGTGCTGGGAAAAGGTAGAACTTTGCTTTATAAATCTGTGGAGCAAGTCACCCACGTCGTCATTAGAATGACAGCAATCGCACAAGGAGAAGGCAACTTCTAGCACCAAGATACGAAGGACACACACTAGCCACCGTTCGTAGCTACAGGCGTCAGGTGACGTAAGTCTTGTAGTTGTGAATGGCATGCACGACGTCCAAATTAACAGGCCAATTAGAGAAGCGGTATTTCTTAGTGGGCAGGTTCCGACGATATCCGTTATCTCCAAGTCACACACTGGCACGCCGTTATCTTGTAAGCGAAGTTGCTTAAGATAAGTGCACCTACCTGCCAATATCTGGCGGGTGGGTAGAGGCGGATCTCTGCATTATGGACAACTTCCTGCTCTAAATAACCAACTTCCTGCTATATGGGTGGTGCAGTTCTGTCGGTTTGTGGTCTACAGCTAGGGGGAACCCAATCAGGACACGGCAGACATTATTGGGGATGCGCGCACATACAGTGCGTGACCTATCTCATGAAATGTTGGATGAAATTCTGAAATGCGCTTTCGATTAGGAAGGATTACTTGGTCGCGGTTGTGATACTGACTATCTTAAGGCCGTTTACCACTGCTCCTCATGAAATGTACAACATGGTCCGCATCCACTGCAAAATTTTATGGACTCTGTATGATATCTCTTTAATGGCATAGAAAAATATGGGATTTTCTTTACGCGGAACGCATGCACCTTGTAGATTGAAATCATTAAGCGCTAATACAACGAATGATCAGGCTCCAAATTTTTCGGCAGATAGAAAACTTTTTTAAAACCTAATTATACTCCTTCCTTAAGTATAAAATATAAAAAGACGTGATTCTCTATTGATTGCCTAAAAGAAAGCATATTTTTGTTTGTGGTTTCTATAAAATATATTTGAATTTCCAAGACCATCGAAAATCAATGGGAAAAATGCATGCTACTTAAGTAGTCATTTTTTACCGAATTTCAGCCAACATTTCATGAGATAGGTCACGCACTGTAACAAATGCCCCACAAAGGGATGTAGTGACACGCCTGGGTGCGGGTTTTCGCCGTGCCAGACACCTGCACCCCCCCCCCTCCCGCCTCCGGCCTTCTTGACTCTGTTTTGACACCGAATCCAGGTTGGGGGAGGAGGACAGAGTGTGGTAGATGCTGCGAAAGTCAACTATCACTATAAACTCAAGTCACCCTTCCTACGCCCACCCTGCTGCGGGGCACACGACGGCCCCGGCTGTCGCCAACTAGGTAGGCAGAATTTTTTGCTGACCACCAAAGAAGCGGTTTTCTCAACTCCGTCATATATCAGAAGGCGAGTAGGTCGGCATGGAGGCCCAATCTGTAAATGTTTATTCAGCTTGGCAGGGTGAGCGTACAGGAGAAGTTCCCGGCGGGTGAGG